TGTTTTGAAGATAGTCAGTGTATTAGTGAATGCGAAGAAGTCGCATCCTCGTCATTGGCATACTGACTTTCAGTTGTCTTTAAACATTTATAAGGACTTGGAAAACTCGAATAATGCATGAAAAAATGATAAATGGCTAACCGTCTATCGTCTCTCTCTGCATTTGTGAGTCCAATCGATCTAACTGCTGAGGTCTTGGAATTTGCAACATCCTGCAAGGTAAAGAGTGCATTGAAAATGATTTTCATCTCCACTTGGAAATCAACGAAAGGAGAACCCACCTGCTCAGCACTGGCAATAGTGGTGGGTGTGGGAAGAGGTGCGCTTAACTCGGTCGTAGAACAGTCACCTGCGATCCAATGAGAATCAGTCAGCGCGGTAGCAACGTCCTGGCCTTTTTCGATCTCCTCCTCCAACAATCGCGGCACTGACACAGATCGCCGAATATACTCTACCGTTCCTCTACTAAAAATAGGATCGAATTTCCCATCTACATCATCGTAGAGACTCTCGGACGAGGTAGAGGAACAAGACGTTGAAGAGAATGAAGTAGACACGGCCGAGGTCGCGTCATGCGAGACATCGGCAAAACTCCGAGCTGCTCGCAGTGTTCGATTCGGATGGGACAGCGACGGTGTGTGAGTTGGAGTGACGATGTCAGCTCTGCAAAGGGGCATATTATTGTGTCTTACTCAATAAAAAAGATAGTTATTGAGAGTGGTCATTGTTTTTTAACTAACTAAAACATGAAGCGCAACTGCGACCAATTCATCCCTAGAGATCTCTTAGTATATAATGATCACTTGTCTCCTCCTGAGAATACTTGGCAGAGGATGCGAATCGCCTATTTGGGAAGCATAGGTAGAACAAATACCTGTATTTATCCAGCCAAGTGGTATTTCTGGTTGATGAGGGAATTGGAGCTGTTTGTTTAGAACATTCCATGGTCAATTCACTTCGAAACTGGTTGGCGGAAGTAGCATCATCGAATCCAAGAAAAAGGGTAGCAAACCGACTCTAAAATGATGGAACACAGAATTGCGATGGGCATGACGATTAATAACTTACAATTCGGTATAGAATAAACTAGCCGTCGATTCAAAAACCAAGAGATGTACCTTTTTAGGCATGGCTGGAATAGTAGAAACGGATGTCGCTTGGCGCTTCCCTGACACCGACGAGGTTCCGCTATTGCTGGGTACAGTCGAATTCGACAATCCAAAATCCGACCCGAACGAAGAGATATCTCTGCCAATTATTCGCAACATAGTGGGTTTGTTTGAGTCTAAAGCAAACGAGAAAATCAGCAAACATATTCACGAACTACCTGAATCACAGCTAAGAACCTCGTCCACAGCGATAAGTTTATCAGTGGTTAGGTAGCTCACCACTGTATCAGCAATCCGTGTTCCAGCAAAGATGAACAGACTGGGGAGACGAAGGTTAGACGTAAAGGGAACATATTAGAAAGCGCACTAAATAGTTTAAGAGGGTTATTACATTCTCTGATATGAAAGATATACGAAGCAACACCCATATTGTAATTTCAGACGCACGTTGTTTGTTTGGTTTCCTCGTTGCGTATGAGGGCCACGATCCGGGGTAGATCGACCCAACTCTGTACAATTGAGACTTCGAAAGCCTGTAGCAGTTAAACACAATATTTAGTGTATAGGTCTTAAAAGGAGAAAGTAAAAAGGATGAGATAGAAACGAGTACATAAGCCGATAGAGAACACAACAATCAAGTAAAAGTAAGTGGTAGGGCAGCGATAACACCATGAGGCGTAAAATCAAGCCCGAGATACGTATGAATTGCATTCGCATGCTAGGATGGGCGAACTCCAAACAGCGAAATGTAAACAAATAAAATTGATAGATAATGAGGTAGTCATGACATGACCAAGTACACACAAAGTAACAGCACGTCAAATTAATTTAGAAAAATAAACTGTAACTTTCAGGATCTCATAAAACAAACAACAACAAAGGAGGCACTAAGCGTCATAAGTGACATTATTACAATCTTTGGTGTAGGTATAAAGAGCAATGAAACAAAACTCTTACAACGAGGCATTTATCATTGCACTCTTGGGAGATGCCATCCTGTCTTGCCTTAATATCGATAAATTCCTGAATAACAAGAGCAAAATCTTTGCCACTTTTATCCATTGTTCCGAAAACCGCAGCTCCAAGACGCCACCCACACGGAATTACTTTGGGAGGATTTTCAAGAGATACTAAAACAACATTAGGTAACTGCAAAGCTAAAATCGGAACATAAGATGGCAGTGTTTGCTGTTAGCTCGGGAATATTAACAAGCTCTTTGATTTTTATAACTAAACTCTAAGTTAGCCAAGGTAGTATGAATTTAATAATCGACGTAGGAAAACAATTATTCTGGAGCTTGAAGCACCAGAAAGAGGCACTTCATTAATAGAAAGGTAGACAACCTAAGGTGCTTGTTTTTGAGCCCAAGAAACATGCATCTTAACTTATGGCAATCCGTATGATGGTGCATAGGTTAGTGTTTAGAACGTCGCTTTTTGCTGTTGTGTCTTAGATTGTTGCTGCAAAAAATAAACATATCTTTTTACAACAATATTGCAGAGACTGCCTGCCTTGCCTCATGCCCTTGAGCTACGGACTTCAAGAGAGGGTTAGTTGCAGACGATTTATTTGGCACTAGATACAGGGAGGATGGGGATTGGAGTACAGATGGTCCGAATTGATGGTATAAACCGGAGAGAGACTACCCATGATCCTAATGCACGGGATTCGTGTTCCAATTCTGGCTTCCGTCTCTCCTATATAGGTTTACATAAAACGCATGAGGTGAAACTTACAC